CAGAGAGGACGGGGTTTTATTGTTGGTAATGCAAATTGAATAAAGAAATCTCCCTTATAAAATGTTGCTTTCTTTTCCTCATTCTGTCTTGCACTTACTAGGTGTCCTGCAATTTATGTAATAAGCAGAGTTAGGTTGTCCATGATTCAAAATTTGCAAGTAATTGTACCATTTTTTTCTACTACATGTAAATGATTTAGAACAATCAGTAAGCATTTATTTTTTACAGATGACTGTTTCTCGGTGTGTCCATTTGTACAGATTTAGCTGTAAGCGCTGCAACAGAAGTATGAGATACCTGTTATATTTTATATTTCAGTTAATACCACACTTACCTCTAAATTGAATGTTAACACTGCAGTGTTCAGTGGGTAACTACCAAGATGTTGGAAGTGCTGTACTTAGTCTCTGGCATTAACAGTGGATCCAATCTACCTGTTTAGTTGAATGGTAAAATCCCATGGCATTATTCCAAGAACAGAGGGTTGGTCAACTTTCCTTTTTCAATTAACACCACCAGAGGCATGCGACTGCTTAATCTCATTGCCATTTATTTGATCTTTGGGTACAAAAATGGCTGCTATGGTTACTCAAAAATAAATTGCTGCATTTCAAAGTAATTCATTGTACGCAAAATGTGTTAAGCCATTATGAAACACTTTCCGATTGTACATGCCTCCAAACCCCAACAGAGCACAACTGCAGCCACATTGATAAGCCATGAAAGAGCAAATAATTGGCCTGGTCAAACTATGCTTTAGATACTTTGAAGTTTTTATAAGGCACCCCAGAGAAAGTAAAATAATCTTGATGTGCTGTATGTTGTGCAACATTTCCTTCAACACATGCATCACCAGAAGTGATTGAAGACCAGGAAGAAATTATGCTGGAGGAAATAAGTCAATCATAGGGTATTGAACTACAATGGGATTAATCAATAAATCCCCTATAGTTATCTGCATTTGGTCTCCTAGTGCATTTAAGGTAATCATCATCATATAATGGAATGTGAGTCCAAGGACCTCAACTGCACAATGAGAGTGTTCATGAAATACCTCACCTCCAGGTATACTCTATGCCATTAACAGCTTCGCTACATATGCCGTGGGTGTTATTGTTTGTTCATTAACAAAATACAGAGCATAACACCACTAATGTTCAAGATAATAGAACGATATCCAGGTTATTGGGCTGGATTATATCAAGTGGATGAACTGCTTTCACCCCTGCAGACCCTTTAGGGACACATCTACCATTGCTTGGCTAGCTCAGTGCATTCAGTTTTTTCACATAACAGCCCTTTCATTAGTATGTCAGGATTTCCCTCTATCTCCATGGGGAAGCCTCAGCGAGATGCCAGCTAATTGGAAGCCAACAGCTTTGTGTCACACCAGGACCAGTGGCCACTGTTAGTGATTGTAGATCCAGGAGGCAGAAAACCATGAATATCCCTAAGTCCACATAAGTTTGCAACCACACCAAGGCTGGGTTAAGAGACAACTGTGAGAAGGTCAGAGGATATGTGTTAACTTCAAAAGAACACTGCATGTAAACAGAATTCAAATCCACATTTTTATGTCAGTGCTTTATTTCAGTTGGCCACACTTTATACAACTCACACAACCACTGATTACTAGCTCGCCATATTTATACATCGAGTTCAAACCTTGTTAACTTCTAATTAATATATCCCTTGCCTGTTCCCTTGTTCCATTAGGCTTCAGGCATTCCTTCAGACCATATTAAATTGTCAAACATATTGGATTGGACAGAGGTAGGCTAGAAGTGGAGAGGCAAAAATGTGGGTTTAAGACTTCCAGTTGTCATAGGAACCAAGAGGGAGATGACCCCTTTCGCTAACTAACAGTCTGTAGGGTTACATTTGCCAAGCTCCATGTTAGGTGCAGGCCTCTCCTTCAGCCCATTAAATACAAACAGCAGCAAGACTAATTGCCCACTTTAGGGCCTCTGTTGAGACAAACGTTGGCAGCCAACTCAATGCCTCCTTCAATTCCCATAAAAATGTGATGGTGAGGACAGGAGGGCCAATGTTGGTTCAGTGCTGAATGGAACATTTCCTTAATTTGTGGATCCCTCCATTTTCCAGTCTGTGAGTGCTCATAAAATTCAGCCCCTGGATACCACCAGAATACTCAAATCACCTTCCAGAACGTGCTCCACAGAGTCAAGATAAATGTTTCTGGTTATTGGGAATCCTCTAGTTAGAACTCATTTACTTAAAAGCTAGTTTTTGCAGTTATAATGCTGATATGTGACCCACTAAAAATTTCTGATTGGTTTCACTCTGCATTTTTCTGATCAACTATTCCCCATTTGCCACTAGTATTGAATTCACTTGCTGAGGATTACCTTTGGATAGTCACTAATCATGCAGAATCAACCTGTCTGTGTGTGACAGAAGTTTCGGAACAAGGGAGGAATTTCTTTTTTCATGGTTTCTCAACTTTTTGTTAAGAGAGTAAATTGAAATCTGTTTTCAGTTTATGTTAACTTTCTTGTGATCAGATGAAATTTATGCTGAATTCTGCAGTGATTCTGTGTCACTGTTTGGTGAGAAGATTGTAAACCAACTTGCAATTGAGATGTCATTTTTCTGTAAAAGTTACAAACCAGCAGCTTGATATCATCCTGGAGCTTCCATTTGCCCAATAGCCCAATCTACAGTTGGCATACTGATCATTTCCAGAAGTGGTTGCTCATCATGTATACAAGATCTACACTGGGATTGTATTGCAACAGCCATCCCACGAGGAAATGTCACTTTTTCCTGCAAAGATGAAAACCAAAGTAATTATAATTAACATAAGTGTATCTGTCATTGTGTGTGATCCAGTACTATCTTGGTAAGCTTGCTAGCTAAACTCGTCCCACCACAACCCAAATGTTGTTCCTCACTCAGCGATAGTAGGAACTGCCAATGCTGGAGTTAGAGATAACACAGTGTGGAGCTGGAGGAACACAGCAGGCCAGGCAGCATCAGAGGAGCAGGAAAGCTGACGATTCGGGTCTGGACCCTTCCCTTCCCCCATTTCTGAAGAACAGTCCCGACCCAAAACGTCAGCTTTCCTGCTCCTCTGATGCTGCCTGACCTGTTGTGGTCATCCAGCTCTACACCTTGTTATCCCAAATGTTATTCCTCTGGTTCTTACAGCATTTGTAGTTGCTCAAGTTTGCTTGTATATTATTTGTAGCATCCTTTTAATGCTCAGACGTGTGCACTGAGAAAATTCTATTTTATTTTCACAGCATGCCTTTGTCTATCATTTTAGTACTTGGTTATGTTAAAGAGGATTAACTATGGTCAAAGTACCATTATACTTACCTGTATGTTTCATGTGCTTTTATACGTAATGATATGTCATTACAGACAATATCATAAATTCCTTGCAAATTTGTCAAACTGCAATGATTAAATGACATACATTCATTGTATTTGTGGTCAATCTCTCTGGTAAATCTAGTAAAATTTGCCTGGTAAATCCACTTTCAGTTACTTGTTCTTCAGCCGAAAACAAAAAAAGGACCTTGTCACGCTAAATCCGTTAATGAGTTATCTAAAGTAATTTTCCATACTATTCAGCTGGATTGAAGATAATGCGCATCTCATGTTATTTAAAGTGCTTGATAATTCAATAATAAATGGTTCAATATCATTTAAAGCAAGTGCATTTTATCACCATCTCCTCTGAATGCACTGTAAAGAAGTACACGTCACCAAAAATATTATGAAAAACAATCAGCACAAAAATGCTTATCCGTTCTTATGCTAAAATTGGAATTTCTATCTTCAAGTATTTTGTTTCCAGTTCACCAGAACAGAATGTTGTTGTCTATTCAGCACAATGAAAGCCAGGAAGTACACACCAGAACATGGCACAAAATTGATTTATAACATCACATAAACAACATTTTTGCAAGAATCTATTATCTTATGAAATTGCCACAAACCTAGCTAACATCGCTGTTTGAATACGTTTCCATCTAGATATCTACAGGTTGGAATTTTACATTGAAACCCAGGCACAGTAGGAGTTAAAATAGATCATCTAATTTCTTTCCCCACTTTTCCCCAAGACACCTTATTGGATCAAACAGAAATCACCTACATTTATACCAGTTGGGACTGTTATGTCATGAATGATGAAGAAGATGGCTTATGGTGTATTCCTAATGTTTGAAATCCATTTTAACAGAGGGACAGGATGCCCTCCGTCATTACAGGAGAATGGTCCCACAGACAGCAGGCCCACCTGCTCCTGGAATACTGAAAATCTGTTGAAAAGGAAGAAAAACATCTCTCCTCATTTCTGAGATAACAAGGTGTAGAGCTGGATGAGCACAGCAGGCCAAGCAGCAGCAGAGGAGCAGGAAAGCTGACGTTTCTGAAGAAGGATCCAGACCCGAAACACCAGCTTTCCTGCTCCTATGATGCTGCTTGGCCTGCTGTGTTCATCCAGCCCTGCACCTTGTTATCTCAGATTCTCCAGCATCAGCAGTTCCTGCTATCTCTCTCCTCATTTCTGCTGCTTTCAAACATTCTATATACATTAGTATAATGATTACTGAATACAGTGTTATTAATCACTTTGTGTGGATGATGAGGTCCAGGTTAATCATTTTATTTTAAACATGCTAAAATAATCATTGTTAGATGATTCTAATAAGAATAAGGCGGAATTTATGTGGCACCGGTAAAGTTGATATGTCATGGGTCAAAGTCATGTGACACCTTAGCATATCAAAGAAGCATGGTTCTTTCCATTGGGTCTTTACCTGGATGATCTGTGTGGCTCTAAACTGCAGGTGAGTAATCAGTCAGTTTCAAACTTCTTATCTCAATGAAGGGGAAATGGAAACTCATTCATTAACTTGTAAATCTAATCCCATTGGAACACTTTTGGTTAGCTCTTAGGTTCTGTGCACATCACAATGCCAATAATGAGGACAATTCTTTTGAACCTCTGCATGTGTATTTACAGGCTTCCGGAATTTGCACATAGATGATCAAATGACTCTCATTCAATATTCTTGGATGGGCCTGATGGTATTTGCAATGGGATGGCGGTCATATAAACACGTCAAAGGAAAAATGCTGTACTTTGCTCCAGATCTGATTTTCAATGAGTGAGTAGATCCACTCTTACATTTAATAAAAATAACAATGTAATGTTTATCATGATGCTAGATGTTTATTTTTGTAAAGGTTACACAATAGCTTGTTGTTACAGGAACATGTGTGTATTATGTAGAGGTCCAACGTTGCTTCTGTTCCTGAAATCGTCATTTAAATTATTTGACTACGCTTTCAGCTCGCATTGATCCAAGCACTTGCAGCCCTATTGAATTGTGGATAAATAATCAACAAGGGATGCTGAAAAAGATCAATGGATGCTGTCACACAAGAGAATGTGTCTGGATAGCAGGACTAAACTACTTCAGAAATGTTGAAAACCATTTTGAAAAACATGTTACTTTTTCCTGAGGCTATATGGGGGTAAAGAAGAGGTGACAGAAAGGTAGGAGAAAGCAAACCTAATTTAGAGGGTGAAACAGAATCTGTGGGCAATTAGTAAAGCACTCATCATCAACATTCTGGCTTAATGTTGGAGAAAATAGGTGTGATACTATCTAGGATAACAAGGTGTAGAGCTGGAACATTAAGCCAGAATGTTGATGATGAGTGCTTTACT